ATGAAGATCCCGTGGCCAGCTGCGTTTGAAGAAGGAGACATACGGAGCTTCTTACGTGACTTCGAGGCCGTTGCTGAGCTGGTGGGTGTCAAGGAGCAGGCGGCGAAGGCAGTTGTCCTGGGGACGCTGTTGAGAGGCCGAGCGAAGGCTGCATATGACAGCGTAGACAGGTCAAATGGCACAGCGTCTTGGAAGAAATTGGTTGAACGACTAGTGTCCGAGTTTGACAGCGAAACAGACAGACAGCTAGCAATGCAGCAGTTCCGGTCAATGAAGCTTGGACCTGATGGAGACCCGCTAGTGTTGGCGGTGAAACTGACTAATCTACTTCGACGCGCGCTTCCCACTTTAGATGAAGAATCAGAAGCGCAGTTACTGTCTTCCCAATTCATCGAGAGTGTCCCAGACCACATTTCTCAGCGATTACAACTGGTTAACGCAACGCAGCCGATGGATATTAGTGAGCTGGCGAAGGTGACCAGACAGCTGCTGAGCACAACGGTAGCCGCTATAGACCAACCAAAACCAAACGAATATGAGCAGAAAATTGAAGCATTGCAGCGGGAAGTGGCGGCGTTAAAGTTGGCTGATAGAAAAGACCGGTGTTTTGAATGCGGTAAGCCGGGACACTGGAGAAGATACTGCCCAGAAAGGCGAAAAAGAAAAAATTTCAGACGGTATAATGCTTGTTCTTTCTTTCGTATGAACCTAGATTTAGTGGGGGCTATTGAGAAAGGGCTCTGTATTCGAAGTTGCGAGTGAATGATCGAGAAGTAGTATGTTTGATAGATACAGGGGCGGCCGTGTCGTTAATAGATAAGAATTTATGTAAGAGTGTTAGCCCGTGTTCATTGACAGTACAAACAGTAGGCGGGTATGTGTTGCGTATCACGGGTAGATCGAACTGTACGGTCGTTGTTGGTGGCTGCGAGGTGACGTTTCCTTTCATTGTTGTACCCGAACTACAGCGAACGATATTAGGAGCGGATTTTCTGCGTGAGATTGGTGCAATAATCGACACGCAAGCGAACGTGGTGATCACGAAATACGGGCATATCAACATGTATGAGACCAGCGAGATAGCAGCGATTAAGCTGTCGACGGTACACAATGTGACAGAGTTAATTAATAAATACGATCATCTGTTCACTGGAGATGGCGACCCATACGGTTATTGCGATAAGGTGAATCATGAAATTCCGTTAAGTGATCCGAAAGTAAGGTCATTTTTAACGCGAAGAGTTCCATGTCATCTGGAAGGCGAAGTGGAGCGACAAGTGCAAGAGATGTTAAAAGATGATATTATTGAGGAAGCTGATAGCCCGTACAACTCTCCAGTGCTGTTAGTAAAAAAAGCGAATGGGAAGTATAGATTCTGTGTTGATTTTCGACAGTTAAACAGTATGACAGAGTTAAGACCGTGTGCCATGCCAACAGTGGTAGAAACTTTAGATCGCCTACAAGGTGCGAATGTGTTTTCGGTTCTCGATCTTCGCTCAGGATACTGGCAGATACCGATAAAACAAGGTGATAGAGATAAGACGGCTTTCATCGTGGGTCAGACACAATATCGATTTAAACGCATGCCGTTTGGACTAGCAGGTGCACCGTTTACGTTCAGACGACTGATGAAGCTATTACTTAGGAACTTGAAAAACGTGGAGGTTTATGGTGATGATCTCGTCATATACAGTCAAAACGAAAACGATCACGTCAACCATGTAGAAGCCGTGCTGCGACGCATCGAAGAGTTTGGACTACGCGTCAACAAAACCAAGTCTCAGATAGCCAAAAAGAATGTTACTCTGTTGGGACATAAAGTGGGAAATGGTGAGATTAAACCACTGCCGGAGAAAATTTTGACGATTAAAACGATTCCAGCCCCGAATTCAAAGAGAAAACTGAGACAATTCTTGGGTAGAGCAGCGTTTTATAGTCGCTTCGTGAAGAACTTCAATGAGATAGCAGCCCCTCTATACAGGCTACTAGGTGAGCCAAAGTTTGTTTGGTCGGAAGAATCGCAGAGGACATTCGACAGAATTAAACAGCTGCTCGACCACCAACAAATGACGCTAAAACTACCTGTGCCAGGAAGACAGTTCACAGTGTGCACAGATGCCAGTGACTACGCTATAGGTGCGGTCCTAAGACAGGACGAGGGAATCGTTGAGTATGCCAGTAGGGTTTTGACCCTCACAGAGAGAAAGTATTCAACGATAGAGAAAGAATGTTTAGCAATGGTATGGGCAGTCGACAAATGGAGACCTTATTTACTCGGCCGGCGGTTCCACATCGAAACTGATCATAAGCCGCTACAATTTTTGAAGACAGCGAGAGACCCACGGGGGAAGTTGTCACGGTGGATGTTGCGTCTTCAGGAGTACGATTTTACGATCTCACACGTTCCTGGAAGTGAAAATGTCTTGGCAGATTTGTTATCGAGACCAGAAGATGAGTCTGAGTTGCCCGAGGTCGCTTACGGAGTGCATGCAGTAGAACAAGACCCACTAAGACTTGCACGTAGGCAGAGGTTGGACGATACGCTGAATACAGTAATACAGGTGATCACCAACGGAATAGAAGTGGATCAAACTACGGCGAGTAAGGAGCTAACCACACTACTCAGACAGAGGGATCGACTCAGAGTGAATGCCTACGGGACTCTGACCTGGCGAGAGAACGACGGAAGCTGGCTGGCTGTCATACCTCAATCGTCGCGCCACGACATGATAGAAGAATGTCACCAGCTAGCGCATACAGGCGTGGCCAGAACGACCGACCTCCTAAGACAAAGTATGTACTGGCCAGGTATGAGAGAAGACGTAGCAAGATACGTACTTGGATGTCCACGGTGCCAGCTGATGAAAGGTGACCGGTATATACGACCACCACTTCAGTCGATTCCAGTTACCGCGATAGGTGACTTGTGGTCCGTAGATGTCATGGGTCCATTTCCTCAGACATCCAATGGTAATCAGTACCTCTTGGTGATGACGGAACACGCGACACGATGGGTAGACGCCGTAGCAATCCCAGACCAACGTGCAAGAACCGTGACAGATGCAGTAGTTAGACACATTGTTGCAGACCACGGCGTACCGAAGACAATACTGACAGACCAAGGTCCCTGTTTCGAGAGTGAAGAGTTTACTTCCCGTTTGCAACAGCTGGGCATCAAGAGGATCAGAACGACCCCATACCATCCACAAACGAATGGCCTAACGGAGAGAAACAACCGTACACTGAAGGAGTGGCTGGCCTCGAAGGGCGGGAACTGGGAAACGGAGCTTCCACTGATTTTACTAACACATCGGGCTACCACTCAGGAAACAACGAAGAAGTCACCCTTCCAACTGATGTATGGTAGAAAACCACGATTACCGGTACACAATGAGACCTGGCCCATGCACCAAAAGTGGAGTACGACGAAATTAAAAGCAGAGAGGAAAGAGGCAGTCAAGAATGTAATACGGAAGCAGCGCAGTGATGTCACGAAGTCTCAGATGAAAGAAAGGACGCAGTGCATTACCTTTGCAGTCGGGGACCAAGTGAAGTGTAGAGACAGGAGATATACAGTTGGAGGCGGGCTAGGTTCACGGAAACTCCTTCCAAAGTGGGAAGGACCATACACAATCACAAAAAGACGGGGTCAAGTATATACCATCCGAAGAGGTGATAAACAGAAACGAGTTAACGCCAGTCAGCTCCAAAGATGGGTACAGTGGGACAAGCCGGTCAGTAACAATCCTCAACTAGAGGATGTAGCACCCAGAAGGTCGGAACGTCTGCGCACGAAGCTATTTGACGGGGGGACGAGTGTGGTGAGAGCAGGCTGCTAGCCGATTGGTTGGCACTAATCTACGTTAATGTCTAGGTCACTAATATGGGCCGTGAGAAAATATGAACAAGGCTGTTTCAACAACCAATCACAGCAAACTTAAATGTGGACAAATATGATTCGCAGATAGATGGCTCTACTTTCCGAGAAATATCGAAAACAACCAATCATAAGACTGTGTTTGTCTGCTTAACTTCCGAGAAACAACCAATCAGAAGACTGCCTTTTTCTGCTTGCATAAGCCTTATTAATGCACATAAAATATATATAAATACGTGTTGATTTTCGTAATAAAACGATCTGTTGCCAGCCCTTGTCTTCTGTTGTTACACTAGTACATCTACCCTGACGAGTTTCAAAACAAAGTTTAACAAAGGTTTCGTGTGATGACGAATAGTCTTGGAATTCACAAAAGTGGTTTAAACTTCCTAATCACACTTCGGTTCCCACAAACTTTAGAATGCAATCCAAACACGTTTTACAGATAGGTTTAAAGAATGTGCAAACGCCAGTTTTATGACCTGTCCCTATAATATGTTTCGAAATAGGGAGCCGGGACCTCATTAATAACTGAAGATTCTGTTGCTTCTGAAGGCATTTAGGAATATGATGCGTAGCCCTTACTTGCAAAAATCGATGAGCCTTCCCTAAATGGATATAGCAACCACTTCTAAACCTTACGTCCATAGCTTTAAGAGATGTCGGACACTACTTCTACGTGGTTTTAAAATAATTTGGTGAATTAACTTCGAACAAGCGCGAATGTGGCGTCAGGACAATGACAAAAATCGGAAGTTTATGAAACCAAACTCACTAGCAGGAAAAAGTGACGCACACGTCAGATGTCTTTACGTACCTGATCACGAGGATGGTATTGAAATCCACCAAATTACTAAAATGTTGCAGTGTGCATTTAACTCACTTAAAACCTTCGGCAGAAAACAGTGAATGTTATAAGTGATCATAAAACATATTGCAATTTCTACCCATTTGTGAACACTAATTTTCGCTTGTATCTATGCATTCTATTGACTTTCCTCTATCAAAACAACACACAGAAGTGCAGGAGGATGCAGGAATTCGATATCAACCATATTCTTTGGTTCCTGCAGCAGTAATAGGTACTGCACAATAGCTGATAGGGAAATTTGAGATCGAGTACAAGTTTCCGCCAATCTGCAAAGAAATTTATCGAATGACAGTCGTTGAAATGTACGCGAAGCTTACTCGGTATGCCAAAAATCACTGCATGAACCATGTATTTAAGCGTCCTGTCACACAAGCAATCAGCAAATGCTCAAGAACAATATCGAACAATAATTTTCATATAAATTCATCCAACAAGAGCAAAATAAGCAGCGAAATAGCGTCTACTGCGTTTGTTGGACGACTAGCCACAACTCGAATCAACGAAACCGCGCAAATGCCGTCAAGGTTAAGCCAAAGGCGCCACTTCAAACAGGGGACATGCTTTATCAACGCCCCATCTTTGAGCAGTCTGGTGACTGGGGAGATGAAAACTGGGAGTGTATTTGCATCACGCACATCAGCTGGTAGTCTACTTTAAATGACTAAAAACTTATTCAAGAAGAAGTCGTACCGCATTTAAGTCTGACAGTGCTCTGTAGCAGCTAGGTTGTGATAATTTCTAAGATTGTAACTGATGACAGTGGTAGGTTTAGTTATTGGCCTGGAGGAGAGCAAGAGAAGATAACAGATGGATGTTTAAGTAACATAATTTTCGCCACACACGAGATGGATAAAGCTGTCGCAAATCTTACGCTTAGTAACATTCCTGGCCCAGACGGTATATCTTCCATTCTAATGAAAAACGATGGTAATGTCTTCAATTTACTCCTATTCAAGTTATACTCAATTTCATTAAGCTATTGGACATACTATACCTGCTGGAATATATATATATATTTATTCCTACATAGATAAAAATAAATACATATAAGTCTTATACTGCACCTATCCATAGATACGGGCCTATAGCTGATATCAACAACTACCACCGCATTAGCATCACGTCTATACTTTCACACGTAATGGAAAAGACATTAAAGACACACATCATTAATTACTTGCTGTCAAATGACCAACTGTCCCCATCTCAATACGGTTTCTTAGGCAGAGGGTCGTGCATTACTTGCCACTAAGATCTTTTGGACTACATTACACAATGCATTGATAATGGGCGTTCAGTAACAACATTACTTCTTGACGTTAGCAAAGCCTCTGATAAAGTCCAACATATCGGGCTCCCAACAAAATTCCGATCCCACGGAATAAGCGGAAATCTTCTCAAATGGATAAATTCTTTTCCAACAGAAAGAGAGCAGTTAGCCGAAATCAACCACCAGCTGTTTTCATCAAAGCCGATAACTAGTGGTGTAATACAAGGCAGCGTTCTTGGCCCTATTCTATTCCTCTTATTTATAAATGACGTAGTCTCTGTGATCAAGTATGGTAAGTCATACCTCTTTGCAGATAGTATATGATTATGGGCACGGTGATATGAGCGTCGAAAGCAAGGTCCAACATGACTTAAACAATCTAGGCGATTTTAACTAAAGGTGGCAACTGACTTTCAAAGCAGACAAGTGCGATATAGCCCAATTCAGACTCTGTAAGCCGAGAATGTGTCTATAATAATAATAATAATAATAATAACAGTACATACTCATTTTGTACATGAGGGACGCCAGTTTACAGGCATCATCAATATGATAAATTACATATACGATTAACAAGCATACATAATAATAATGTTTTAATAAAATACATATTTTTCCCTACCTGTTTAGGACGCACCAAATGTACAGGCATGGATAAGCATCATTTAAATTTGGTTTATGGGTGTCAGCCAAGTCTCATAAACCGTTATTGTCCAGCTCTTGCTACGCTCGAGCTCACGCTGTTCCTTGACGTTTCTCAGAAACGCTTAGTAATAACGGACGAAAAAACCAAAACACCAATTGGTGACTCGAGGATTCTTTATTGTTACACCAACATATAAAAAATGTTTCTACTAAGGTCTGTGAACAAATATTACAATAATGAATCACAATATTACTTCTGACGGTTTACTGCTGACTTCTTTCTGAACAGCGACCGATGAGACGATGACTGTCGTATTGATGCCTCCGCGAAAATTGGGGAAGTTGATTTTGAGCAAACAACCATGAATTGATCGTTCAATCTTCAACTACATTGACAATGGTTGAATTACATGGTTGCTGACGTTTTTCTCTTTGTTTTGTGGGAGCAATATGATAACCAGTCATTCAATGGAGCACATCATGAAATATGGGAATATTGTCTTTGCATTAACAAAAACCTAAGTATGTTTTGGATGGATTAAAAATACTTGGGAAAAAATAAAGCTTGAAGTAATTCCACAATATAACTTAGGTGTGTACAAGTTCGAATCTCATTTTTGATTTATATCCAAATAGGGTAATAAGAGCTACTTTAACAGATACGATCAGTAATGTTAAATGAATAAATAAATAAATTTATTCTCATGATACAGTACATGAGGGACGCCAGTTTACAGGCATCATCAAATTCTTACAGAAATAGAACCATATTATTCAGTCACATTTTACAATCGATAGCAAAATATGTTTAACATGTACACTGGAGATTATACATACACTTGATACATGTTAATCCCAGTAGTATAAAACATCCTTTTCACTTATGTACAATCATTTCTGTGCATAGTTGGAAAAATCTGCTAGATTGTCAGAAAGTGCAACATATCAGGAAATACAGAAGGATTGTCTTCGTATTAACAAGAAAACCAGGACTTTGGTGGATGGGTTATATCATTATTATTATTGCTCCCTTGGGTTCCTAGTGGAACATAGGGCTTCAACTGCACGTCTCCATTTGCTTCTGTCTTCTTCTATACTTTACATCCATGTTAATCCATATTCTTTCAACTCCTCTTCACACGATCTCCTCCATGTCACCCTTGGACGTCCCACACGCCGCTTCCCTTTCGGCCTGGTTCCACTCGAGGAATGGCCTGACGCGCGCGCCATGTCACCCAGCGGCCTCCTCAGCCAGTGTCCAATCCATCTCCACTTTCTCCTGGATACTTGTTGGTTTGTGATTTGTTCTTGTCTTGTTTGTTCCCATAGTTTCTTGTTGGTGATTCGGTCCGGCCCGACCATCTGATCTTCAGTATAGAGCCAGCGAAGACAGTTGTTGGTAGATAAAGGTCTGCAACAGGCTGTTGGAAATATTCTTTGTGACCCGCGCGCCAAGTTTCTTATCCGTATAGAAGAACTGACAGACTTGACGTTTGTATTGAAAATCCGACCGAATTTTGTTGTTGATGCTGGCTGAGTGACGAAGATTTCCAGATTGACTGTTTCAGGTTGATGAATGAATGTGTTTCTCGCCTTCCCGATTCTCGCTCGATTTGACATCCTCGTCCGTTCCGACGGCCTGTAGTTGAGACAATGCTCCCTAGATAAGTGAGTGAATGAAGTAACCTCTTTCAAATCCCTCCAGTTGATGGTGGTTGTCGTTGGATGTTGTTGATGCTGCTGTTGTTGTTGGTTGGTTATTTTCACAACCTCCACCTTGTCTATGTTTACCTGGAGTACTGTCTTTGCTGCTTCTTCGACCAGTTTGTCGATTTTCGCTTGTAAGTCTTCGATTTTGTGTGACATCAAACATAAGTCACCCACGCGCGAAATCCAGGTCTTCCAGGTTCTTCACGTCGGTCCAGGATATTCCTGTCTTCACGTTTCCCATAGTCTGACGCATAATCCAGTCCACCACAATTAGGAATAACATTGGTGATAGTAAGCACCCTTGTCTGACTCCTGTGTTTACTCCAAACGCCTCGCTGAGTTTTTCGTTGTGGATCACTTGACATGTTCCGTCGTCGTTCAGTTGCTGTTGAATAAGGTTGATGAATATTTGGGGCACTATACGCCGTAGAACTCGAGTAGTTTCCAAATTACTTCGCGGTCAACGCTGTCTGTCGAAGGCCTTTTCCAAAGTCTATAAAGTTGAGGTACAGGTTTGAGTGCCATTCCATACTTTGTTCGATGATGATTCGTAGAGTTGCAATTTGGTCAGAAGATGATTTGCCTGGCCTTCCTGAATCCAGCTTGTTCTGGCCGGAGTTCTGTATCCAGTGCGTCCTTTATTCTCTCCAGGATGATGCGACTCAGGATTTTACTTGGCGTCGACAGGAGCATGACTCCTCGCCAGTTCTTGCAGAGTGAGGCGTAAGTCGCCCTTCTTTGGTAGTTTCACGAGGTAACCTTTCCTCCAGTCAGTAGGCACCTTTCCCTCCTTCCAGACCTTTTGCAATAATAGAGTCAGCATATCTGCTGTCGTCTCTGGGTCCGCCTTCAGTGAGTGCTTCAGGGGGTATTCCATCTGGTCCAGCTGCTTTTCCAGCTTTCAGAAGCTTGATTGCATTCAAGACTTCAGCTTCCGTTGGAGGATTGGTGTCAACTTGCAGTTGTATGCGCGCTGTTGTTGGTATTTCTGGACGGGTTGCAGGTGGTGGTCGGTTCGAGAGTCCTTTGAAGAGATCCGCCCATTGTTTAATTTGTCTTTTTTCTTTGGTAATTGGGTTCCCTTGGCTGTCTTTTATAGGTTTCACCTGTGTTGGTCTTTTCCCGGATAGAGACTTGGTTATCTGATATAGTGTCCTCAGGTCCCTTTTGCCTGCTACCTTCTCAGCTTCAGCGGCCAGGTTGTCGTAGAATTGTCTTTTGTCCTTCCTAGCACTCTTCTTCACTTCTTTGTCCAGTGCTGTATAAGTTGAGCTCAGCGTCTCCTTCTCCTGCCCATCCTTGCATTGAACCATTTTCTCTTTCACCATTCTCCTCTCTTCTATTAGCTTCCAAGTGTCCGTTGAGAGCCATTCCTTGTCTTGTCTCTTCTTTCTTCCTAGAACCGTTGAACACGTTTCGTTGAGAATCGCCTTCAGAGACTTCCAATGTTCTTCCACGTATGATTCTTCAGTGATGTCGCGTAGTGTTTCCTGCTTTGCTCTGACAGTTGTGTCCTTCAGTTTTTGAGTTTTGTGGCCTATCCCCAGCTATCCTCGAGGCTTTTAGCTTCACCTTGAAAGTCCCTTCTACTAGATAGTGGTCTGAACCCACATCTGCTCCTCTCCTTGACCTTGTGTCCAGTAGACTCCGTCCCCACTTTCTTGAAATTGAGATGAAGTCTATTTGGTTTTTGGTCTTTCCATCTGGTGAAATCCATGTCGTC